TAGAGGTGACAAATGTGATAGAATTTTGACCAGTGAGATACAAGAGATACCTGCCAGGGCTCTGAGAGAGCTTTTGCTTCTCCTGATGAAAAGGAAAAGATATAGCTGGTACCTCCCCTTTCCTTCTCCTTTCTTCCTTGAGCAAGCATTTGATGGCTGAGTTGCAAGAGGCATCTGGCGACCCGGAGGCAGCAAGAAAGAGAGAAATGGTACCTGAGTCCTTTAAACACTACAAATGGCTTTTGTCAAGCCACTGAACAGATACCAACAGTTCCTTCACTACAGACTTCTTACAACAGGAGGAAAAATAAACTCTTGTGCGTTTAAGCCGCTGTCAATGAGATATACACAAATAGACAGAGAGATACAGATACAAATTTTGTATATAGGTATATATTTTATTGACCCCCCCCAAATAAGCTTGCAGCTAATAAGACATTAAATATCTTCAATCAGCCTGCTGATATCTGAATCAGCCCTAAACTGTCTTTAAGTTGTCATCTGCCTTATGCGTATATACTTCCAGAGGCAGGACATTCATTAGTTACTAAAACTTTCCAGACCATTTTGGAGAATTTGACATTAGGAAGCCTTCTCTTCTCAAAAACGTTCTAAAGTTCCCTCTTTCCCCCTGGTCAAGCATTCCAGGTCCTCCATAAACTCATTCCACACTGCATCCCATCTCTATTTTCCTGTGCGGTCCAGGGTATATACTCTGTAAAGTCAGGCCAGCCTTTGTCCCAGGGGACATGGCTTTCGTAACATGGCCAGCTCATTCTCACTTCTGCGGCTCCTCTCTTACTGGTATTCTTTCCTAAACTGCGAGTCCTTTATGTTTGACTCTAAAATGTTACCCATTTTCCAAGGCTGAATAAGGCCCCAACTTTCCCAGGAAATCTTCCTTGGCTACTCCATCTCCCTCTCATCTCCTCCTCTTACTGACATAGCAAATTGCCACATGGTCTACAAAACATGGTTGAACACTGGATTAATCCCTCTCCCACTAGTTGTTAATTGTCCCGTGTGGCCTTCTTTGGTTCACCTACTAGAAGGTAAACGCCTCCAAACCTAAGACCCATTCTCCTTCCATATTCTCCCAACTGCTAATGCAGCCTTTTGATGGAATTTTTAGGAAATAAAGGCATAAAGTGCTTAAGAGAACTGAAAGACACACATAATACACATAAGCACACACACACACAGGATTTTGTGGTCTCAAATAGAGCCCAATTCAACGGAACCACGAAAATTCCAAATTAGTGTCTGCTGTGATTTTTAATTATAAAAACGCCTTTCTTTACTTCACCTTTCTTTTTAGGAAAAAGGGCTGATAAGTGTCCTCTGATTCACTGGTTGACTGAAGTGGTAACACTTATTCTCCAGCATGAAATAGGGAAATTCTTATTATGGAAATATAAAACAAATTTAAATTAATTAGACTCAATAAAAAAAAAAAAATCAGACACAGGCACTTGTACCGCCATTATATTCAATTCTGAAGTTCCTGTTTCTGAATAGCTCTAAATCCTCCATACATCAAGTAAGCCAGGTGCTCACCCACAATTAGGAGTCCTAGGATTTATTCCTTCGGGGAGAAGGCATCTAAAGATGCCAGCATGCAGAGACTAGTTAATCCATCCAGACCTAAGATTCTGTGGCCTTTGATAAAAGAAACACTGTGCTATGATCTTGAAGTATCACAAGATGGCATCTCCAGATATTCTGATGAAGGAACTACGAATTCCAAATCAGTTTGCTCTCAGTTCCCCAGCAGGTCACTCAGAGGGTCGGGCATGGATGCCATTTATTTGTCATTGCCGGACATGATGCTGTGGGCTTCATCTGTTTCGTCCCTTGCTCTGTCTTCTTGGGTGTAGGCTACCTGCAAATCAGCCTCTCTTGGTCCAGGATTTGGTTGCCACCAGTGTTTTTCAGCTTGCTGGCTTTCATCTACACTTTCCTTTCCAACCTTGCAATTACAGCTGAGAGTCCCAGCTAGGGGTTATTCTACCTACTTATCATCTCCTTGTTACTTTGTTTATGCTGAATGTGACGGCTGGTCACTGAAATATAAAGGTGGATGTGGCTTGGCCTCGGCTTTACACGGAAACATACAAGCAATTATCTTAGCTTATGGCTGAAGTTTCTGAAGCCTTAGCTATGTGGTGGGCCCTGTACTAATCTCCTGACATGGACTGCCCGATGATTCTCTACAACAGCCTTGTGAGACAGGAACTATTATTTCGTACTTATGGCTCAAATAAGAAAATGGAAGCACAAGAAAGGGAAAGTACATGCATCTAGGAAGAAGTGGAAGGGTAGGCATTGGAGACAGGCTGTCAAGCCGAGCACCCCACAGCATAGCTTCTACAAATGAAGAATTATGTCAAGTGCAGAGTAACAAAGGTTGCCATAGATATATACACAAGAGCTAATGGAAGAGAAGTTTCAGGGATGGTTACAAAGGGGAGAGGGATGAAATTTTGATGATGCAGAGTGCGGCTGGTGGAGACCCAGGACTATGTATTTAAAGATCAGAGGGGACCATCAAGGCAGAAGAAGATTTTTCTTCTCAATTTGGCATCCTCCAGGGAAGAATATGAGGATGTGAGGAACAATGGAAAGAGGAGGAAGGAGGAGGCAACTCACAGAGCTGAGGGAAAGAAAGGAGAGGAAAAGAACCAGAGATTCACAGGGAAAAATCCGCAGAAGAGAGTTCCCGGGGCCTATTGAAATTTTGCAATTGGGTCTTTATTATTAATCACAAAAGCTACTATGTTCTTTATGCCAAGCAAAGATCACACACGATCCCATTCCATCCTCCCAACCACCCTTGAAGTGTGTGTTATTATCTGCAGAACAGTTCTGGGGATGGCTGGGGGCAAAATCCAAACCACAAGGGGCTGAGAAGCGACAGAGTGGGGAGAATGTAGTCTTCTGCCTTTGGGATAAGTTTGGGATAAAAAGAGATTGAGCCCTTGTTAAAGGCTAGTCAGCGTGCTGGCCACTTCAGCACTGCTTTCCAATTTCATCCTAACAAAAGTCTAAAAGGGATGTGTCCTTATTCCCCTTCAAAGAAAAAACTGGGATTTGGAAGGCCAGTATGATCCAGGAGCCTATCTTCCTTTCGATAAGCCTGACTCTGCTACAAAGGAGGGGACAGATAGCTGCAACAGACATTGGCTGCTGGCTTTACTCCACCAGGCCAGGCTCCCTGCTAAGAATATTTACAGAATTGTCACATTGAAAAGCCAATTTATTTATTTCAAGTTTATTTATTTTGAGACAGAGAGAGAGAGCGAGCAAGGGAAGGGCAGAGAGAGAGGGAGAGAGAGGATCCCAAGCAGGCTCCAACTTATCAGCACTCACCGGTCAGCATGGAGCCCAATGCGGGGCTTGAACTCACAAACTGTGAGATCATGACCTGAGCTGAAACCAAGAGTCTGACGCTTAACCTACTGAGCCACCAAGGTGTCCCTGAAAAGTCAATTTAAATGCTAATTTCATTATTAACAGTAAGGGCCAGGAGTCAGACTCCCTGAGTTTGGAGCTCAGCTGTGCCACCTAGGAGTGTCCTTTTCCCTCAGTTTCCTCATCTGTAAAATGGACTTCCTTGTGAAAATTCTTTAAAGATAATGCAGGTGAGGGGCGCCTGGTTGGTTCAGTTGGTAGAGCTTGCAGCTCTCGATCCTAGGGTTGTGGGTTCGAGCCTCGCATTGGGGGTAGAGAGTGCTTTAAAAAAATACAGGTGCAATATAAAGAACAACGAGTGCTTAGGGCATGAGAAGTATGGGGTAAAATGTTAACTAATAGTGCAACCTCCATTTTACAGCCAAGAAAAGAGACAGTGAGTAAAGGTCTCAGAATTAGCAACCCTAACAGCTTGCTCTGGATTCCTGGATCCCCCAGAGGTACTTGTGTTTCATCCTCACCCACCTTCCTGCAGAGAAACCCCTTTAAAGGGGAATGAAGTGGTGAACTGTGTGTGTTGTGGTGTGTTTACTTGTTTGTTTTTGAGATGCACCGACTCACACATACTCCTCTCCTGGGGAGAGATGCAAAGGGTAGATGGGTAAGCCCTCAGAGAGACCGGAAGAGGTGGCCACCGGGCACAGGTGTAGGGTCCACAACTTAGATAAGGAGAGGCTCAGGAAAGGAGGCAAGGATGCTGTTCCCATCTTGATTTTGTCTGGTATCAGAGGCAAAACAATCCAGGAGGAAGTTTGCTTTCCTCTGCCCTCTTGAAGGCTGGGACACAACCAATATCCTTGAGGGGATTAAAAAATACTCTGTCCCTCCTACCTTTTCTTCCTCCTCTCCCGACCACCCCACCCCTACTTCCTCTTCTCTCTCTCCCCCTGCTGGTTTGCTGGTTACTTCCCCCTTCCCCTCTCTCCCGGCTATAGCAGGGTCCAAGCTGCCTGCGAGGGACGGGGCGAGATTGGCTGCGGACTGTACAGATCAGCCAAAGAACGAAGTA